ACAGTTTATAGATGATGAAGGAAAACTAACAAGTGATAAACTTGATATTCACATTTGGATATTGTAGGGCTAGAGTCTACTGGGCTCATGTGTGGACATAACATCTGAATTTCTAAAGCAATTGTATAACTTGTTTTTCCTTAGCCAGGAAAGAATATTGGAATATTCTTTCAAAGGTCTTTAAAATATAAACTTTATTGAAAGTAAGTTCTTGAAGGAGTGCACATAGGCAACCTGTTTTATAAAATACTAAGCCTGTTATTCTAATATTAGGTTTCCATTTATTAAACTAAGCAGATCTCTCTTTTGCCTCTCATATTAAAAAATAGCTGCAGGATTATTAATAAGTTTTGTACTATGAAATTATTTTTCTCAACTTTATCATTTTCTATTAAAAATGCAATGCATTCATTCCTCCCTCAAACTTTGACCAAAGACTCAACTTCCCCTTCAAATTATACTTAGAAAGTAGGCTAGATTGAGTTAAATATACACAAAATCACTGCATAACTATTGATCTCCAGTTAGTGTTTGAATATAAGACAAGTTTACACTAGTTTTCATTGTTAAAGTAAGCCTTATGTATCCAAGAGCACGGGAAGGACCTTCCAAGAAACTGAGGTGTAATAAGAACACTCTCACAAACCAACCTGCTGTTTACTTAATAGTTTAAATGTAGTTTGACGATTTACTACAGGTTTTCTGAGAAACACAACTGGACTCAGGTTAAACTCAATTAACTTGGGTTAAGCCTGAATAGAGCCATAATGGTAAGGTGTTTTATGGTAGTGTGTGCTCTGTGAAGGTAGTTTCTTCTAGTTAAAAAAAAAAATGGTATAGTGCTAAGGAGAGCAAGGGTTCTCTTAAAAATAAGTCCTACCCAAAGACTGCAATAAAACTGAGTTACAACCATTCCAAACAGCTGGACAAAACAGCCCTACAGACTACAGCTAGGATATCTGAATCTTCTTCGAATCCCCCAAGACAGCGCCCCTTACCAGCAGGAAGTAGTTTGGAAAGAACGACGCCCAAATTCCCAAATATTGTGTATAAATGTTTGTTTTCATTTAATTGGACTTTGTTATATAAAATTAAATAAAAAATACTCTATATGCATAAAAAAAACTGAGTTACAACTCCAGTACCATAGGATTAAGTAATTGATTAATTCATTATTCTGTTACTTTAGCTCATGTTGCATTAGATATTTTGTCTTTTTAATTGACTAGAAGGCAGAAAAATGTAACATCATTTTTTTAAACCATGTATGGATTAAACTCCTTTCCTTTTAAAATCCTTTATACACTATTTTGACCACATTTGCATGCAGTATATTAATGTGTTTGTTACATAATATAGTGTTACATAAAGAAGCTAACTGAAGAGAAAAAGTGAAAGAAATATGTTCTTTAAAAATAAAACCTATCATGTAATAATATTTCTAGCAAGCTAGCGGACCCTAATTTGGTTCATGGCTAATGATAAATTTATTTATTTAATAATACTAGAGAGTAAAATGGTTGTTTTGGGAGTCTGTTATTGTTGATTGGGATTGGGGGGAGCTGTTTTGTTTGTTGATTTGGGGGTTTTTTGGTTTTTTGTTTGTTTGTTTGTTTGTTTGTTTGTTTTTGGTTCTCTAGGTTTCTCTGTATACCTCTGTCTGTCCTGGAACTCACTATGTAGACCAGGCTGACCTCAAACTGATAGATCGGCTGCCTGCCTCTGCCTCCTGAATGCTGGTATTAAAGGAGTATACAACCACTGCCTGGCTAAGAGTAAAATGTTTTATGTGCTCTTCAAAATTAAATTTTTTTCTAAAATAATTCATTAATTTAAAAACTGAAATAATTTAAAAAGTGTTGAGATTATTTGTCTTTAATACACTGACAAATATTGTAACACTAAATTACACATGAAAAAATAATCACCTGGATTTATTGAGAAATTTCTGCTTTCCTGAAAATTGTAACAGAACATAAAAATATATTTCTTTTTGTCAAATGAATATTATAATGTGATTATGATATATAGCTTATGTTTTTCACTTTTCCTTAAGCATGATAACTTCATTTTTATTCACCAAATTTTGCAATTAATTATATGCTATCCATTGTTGCACTTAATATTCAATTATGATCATCTATATTCAAAGTTACACATGACTTTAAAAGTAATAAAAAAAACATTGAGTTATTTAATGTGTTGTTTCCACTTCTTTCTCAAGTTACCTAAAAATTTTTAAATGAGTAAACTGCAGATACTTGGAGATTGTGCAACTGCCATTAATCAAAGATTTTGTGCAGGAAGAGAATTTCCATACAAGTAAATGAGGAAAAGGCTGACACACCTAGTCAGGATGATGCAGCTCTTATTTGTAATTTTGTAAAGTTGTAAATTGTCTCTACACAATTGCATTGGAATACTTTTACATATTAAACGAGATTTTTTAAAATAATTTAATATTGCACTATGGTTCTTTGTAGAAAAATATTACATTAAAAAAAATACATGTTTAGAGTTCATCCACAGACTGGTCTACAAAACTGGGCCCAGAGAAATGTTTGTTGTCTCATCAGTTGTGTACTAGTCACTCACCTTTATTGTGAGTTAATTCTGAATGAGTCAGGAGGTAAGCTGTACTATAGACTCGACCCCTCCACTAACATAAGCTATGACTTATATTAATGCTTTAGAAGCTTTCCTAAATCCCAAACAAAACAAGGAATTAGGCTTTTGGACCTCTAAAAGCAGAATTAGTTTTACTAGATTAATCAAAGTCACGTATAAAGCATGAAATAATTTTGTTTCATGAATACCTATTTTGATTTTTTTAAAGGTAATTGTATTAATTTATCTGCAAAATTAAAAAACAATTCTGAATAAATAGTTACTATCAAAATGCAAGCAGAGATAAAACCGATAACATGTTATTGTTGTACAGGCTGCAAATAGCCATCTAAATATATCACTTTACAAATAGAACATTTTAGGTAAAACATATTTCAGATCACATGAGACATGGCACTTTTGAATTCTGTATTTTTATTTGACATATTTAGGACTTTTCTAAGACCATATGCATTGGTTTTATGACACTATAAGGAATATCTCCTATAAAGTAAAACTAACATAGATATAAACAATTTGATTTTCAGACATTTGTTTACACATTTTAAAAGCCACATTCTAGAATGATGTGAATCCTTATTTTATTTCCCAGTTATTAACTCAGATAATGTCTATGCCTAATGACCATCAATATTCATTGCCTGGCATTTTTCTGTTATGGTTTTTGGTTAAAAAAGATTGTTTTAACCAATGCTGTTAATATAGATGAGGATATTTAAATAAATTATACAAGATGATTATGCATTTGGAACATTATTTCAACAAAAATCGGAAGAGTTTGTATAGTTACTAGTTAACAATAATTAATATAATACCTAATTTCAGAAAATAATCTGGCTTAGAATAGTGCTTCTCAGTTTCTGTTACTATATGACATTCAGTTATTTAATGTATTCATTCTACTTCTTTCTCCAGTTACCGAGTATTTGTAAAAAGCCATGTCTTTAAAACACCTTATGAATTTCTACACATCTGAGAATGAAATGGTATAATAATTATAAAAAACTGAAAATATAAATTAGCTACAATGCCTTTAAAAATTGCAAGTGCACAAATTAATGTTTCTATTACATTGAAAAATGTATAGAAACAGAGCCAAAAATCATTAAGGACTTAACTCAGGATGAGTTTGTATATACTATGTGTTTGCCAGACAATGGGTGACTGTGGTCAGACTGCTAGATAGTATTGAAAGGCATCTAAGCACTGTATAATTTCACATAAGTGAGAAAACATAGAATTTAATAATTAGGCTAATAGACACAATTTGAATCCAAATCTGATGATTTACATCCCCTCGAGATAACTTGAGATGCCTCTGTAACAACCACTTGTTAACTAGACACTAGTTTCTTAAATTCTCAGGACAGTCTGTACTGTGGGACACAGCATTACAGATGTTTCATCTCAGCTTTGCTCCACAAATGCTTCTTGGAATACCTAATGTAATTCCTCTGTTTCATGAGTTAATACACTTGCTGGTCATATCACCGTTTTTGTATCTATAGACAGCTCCTAGCATATTCTGCAAATTTGCAGAAGGACAGTTGAAATTACATCACTCTTAAGCTCAAAAGTTAAAAAAAAATGAATACAGAATTCACTACGTTTTCTTAACAACACTGAGCAGTTCAATTTTTTGTTTTGTTTTGTTGGATTTTGTTTTTGTTTGTTTTTGTTTTTGTTTGTTTTTTGTTTTTGTTTTCCTTTCCTAACTTGTAAAACACTCGTGATCTAAATACAGTGGAAACAGCTCAAGAACACCCCCTCCAGAAAACAAACAACAAAAAAGAACAAAACAAAAACAAAGGTATTTACACATATCTGGCAACAAAGAACAGTGAATATGCCATCTGTTTGGTAGTTGGGGATGAAGTGTAGATAGGAGTGAAAGGCAAACAAAAGTCCAAGCTGGTGGCTTTTCTTTTAACCCTGCTTTGTGTTCAGCCACACAGGAAGACTCTTGGACTTTTGAGTCTTCGGCCACCCCTTCCTTAGAATACTGATTACGTGGAAAATTTAAAGACCCTTTCTGAGGGGCAGATGTTTGCCAGCTGTCAGGACTGAATTTAGCTAATAGTAGAACTAGTTTTAAACGGCATTGTTTCCGGATTAAAATATTTGTTCAGAAATTTGCCTTCCAGTCCATTACACTGTTAATTAGCTGCTAATTTTATTTTATTAAATACCTTTATACACTAGTAACAGATTTTGTATGCACTGTGGAGTAAGGCTCGCTAGTTTTCCTATGTAGAATTTTAAAAAGGCGGTTTCAACATTATTTCAATGCCACTTGTTAAATTCTTGCTAGAAACATTGTCAAACTACCTGAGAATTTTACTGAGAATAAAAATTGTAAATAATACACTTACCCAGCACCGCTCCTAAGGAAATTCTGTGTGAAATGGTCTCAGTAAGGAATTTGATTTTCTCAGATTTCGCAGGACAGCGTTTCCAATCAGACGAGGTGTGGGAGAGTCTAAGCCTTGCACTATGGTCCTGCTGGCAGGATGAGTGAGCTCCAGGCAGGGAGCCTGAGACTAAGACAGGACTGCACCGCTGGAGAGAGAGGGCTTACTCTGAGTAGATGGGGAGTGTTGTCAGATTGTAAGTGATCAGCCACAGAAGGGAAACATCACTGCTTCCTGTTACATCACCCCGCCCCGCCTGCAGTTAGTGTTAGGTTACTTTCTTTCTCAAATAGCTTACCCCAGGAAAGGAGCTGCAACTCCCTTCTCACTCTGACAAGATCAAGAAGCAGCCTGAACAGACAGAGATCCTTTGCTGTATGAACACATTGTTACCAGCAATCCTGGCTTTCCCCTAGACTGAGTTGTTAGAACTTGCTGACTGTGATGGGAAGGCAATCTCAGTGTAAAAGAATCAAAGGACTTAGGGGTGTGTGACTCTGTGTGTGTGTGTGTGTGTGTGTGTGTGTGTGTGTGTGTGTGTGCCAGAACAAACAGGAACAGTGTTATCTGTCACATCTTTGTTAAATGTGCATGGAATTACAAGAGTCACAATTACTTTAGACTCAATAGTTTGAAGCACTGATATGTGATCCAATTCCACAATCAATTTTGAGTGAGAAGATGAAGAAGCTTTGGCCTGCCCTTTCTAAAAATTTCTTTTACTCATTCATGACATTAAGTATATGTGTATATATCATGAAGCCAGTTTATGTCTAGAGTGTAAAATTACTGCACATACTTTTAAACACTTGATGTAATTATGCCATTGTGATTTTTTTCTAAATTAATTTTTTTCTAAGAATTTTACCCCTAAACATAATTATATCATAAATATTTTAAGAAATCATTGAATGTGGGCAGGGGAAAAACTGTAAACCTGAAATATATTTGTTAGTTTTATGTAAAGTGATGAATTATGAGATTTGTTAATAATCATAACTCCTGAACCCAAACAGTACCAAAAGTCACATGATCTTTGCAGATTAGTAACAGAAGTAAGGACACAAGCTACAGAATCTAAGAATACCGTGTTTCTGAAAGACTGGTCTTTTTTCAACTTTTACTATCTTCATCTGTGGAAGAAACTTACTACAGAATCTTTAATTTTATGTACGTGTGTGTGTGTGTGTGTGTGTGTGTGCACGCGCGTGCGTGCGTGCGCTGCGCGTGTGCGCATGTGTGTGTAATAGGATATATATGTATAAAAATAAGAGACATAATTGACTATCTCAATCAATCACAGATAAAGGAGAAGCTATGTAACAAACTGAAATGACACAATGTAGCCTTAGGAGATGGAGAATATGCAGATGAGGTAAATTGGGAAGTCACTTTTTATAGAATTTTAGTTTTGCTTTCTTTAGGGAACTGTTGAATTATATTTTTGTTGTGCTGTTTCCTCCAGCTCTTGGGAAGAAAAGCCAATGCTGTAAATCACCACTGCCACCTTAAATAATAACTCATTAATCAGAAAATCAACAGAGACATGCTTGGGTGAAAACTGTGGAGTTCTTATGTAGAGTCACACGATGCACAGTGAACAAGAAGGAAAGAAGGAGAGTAACTTCATCCCAGTACAAATACTCACACTTGCTGGGATGATTGTAACAGAACTTTAGGTATGATGTTCACAGCTTAAAGTCCAAGGTTAAACAAATACTAGATTTTAACTTCTAAATTATCACAGTACAGGTCCACATACCCAGTTCTAAGAATGTTTGACCCCTGAGACAGAGAGTGATGTGTGGGAAGCTATGCACAAATCCAGTAAACATTAAAGCATTAACCTTTTTTGATTATTCATTGGATTTGCTCAAACATAATAGAGATTTAGTAAGTAAAGGAATTCTTTCTTTGAGATGTGATTAGCCTGGCTAATCACAACCCAATGATCATTCTCCTGCATGACAGATATACAGGGTGCTATTGTAAATGGAGAATTCAATACAACTTGTAATATTTAGAATAAATTATTGGTTGGGCACATAGGCTAATGCTGTGGTCCATAGAGATTCTGGATAATTCTTGTTAGTATCAAATGTGTGTCTTCCTTACAGTAGTAAACATACATTCTAATAACCAGATGAATACATGTTATATTAATACATGCTATATTGATAGCTGTTATAAGGACTTCTGGGAAGCTAGAATATGCCAACACATGTAGGGACAAGTAAAAAGACTGAGGGAAACTTCACAAATGTAAGCTTGAGTATGACAAGAAACATTTCCAGAAATTAATTAGGTAATTCTGAGCCAACAGAATATTGTTAGTACACTTATTCAGTCTTACCTATTCCATGTGTGTTTTATAATGTGATCTTTTCCCAGAGCATACTGATGCTACTAAGAATTACTTGATAAGCAGTGATCAAGTTTGTATTTTCAGATAAACACTCAAAATAACTCTGTTTTAGGAAACAAAAGACAAATAAGAAGTGTCCAGTTTTGGCCATGTAAAAGACAATTGAAAGCATGTAAGAAATCCCATTATCTGTAATTAGCAACTAATGCAGCCAGTATATCCACATAGAGCATTAGCCATGCAGAGTTCTCCCAGTCCACTTTTCTGTGAAGAGAGGGATGATGCACAGATGAAAGGCATTTGGAGAAACAGTCACATTTGTCCACTTCAAAATTTTACTGCAGGACTTATGCCCTGAATTTTGGTCCTTTATGGGGAGCTAAAGTGCCAATGTCTCTAAATAAGGCTATGGCCTCCCCTACAAAATGGCCCTTGCCTCACAAGGCAATTAATCAGAAAGATGCTAAATCCAAGTCTTACATCCACAAGTTAGACAAATTAGATGAAAATCATGTGTGACAAATTTAGGGTTCTGCTGTGTAAACTGACCTCTTGAGTTTCTGTAGCTACTGCCTTGAAACATGGTTGTTTAAGAACAACCAAAACAGAACACTTTCGCATGGAACATGTTATAGATAGACCATTCCCAGGGCAAGTGCAAGGGTGATCAAAGACAGCATTTAAAAATAAGCTTGTGAATACTTTCAGCTTCCATATTCTAAACTAGCAATTTTTGTGTTTTAGTATATGTGCTGCCGAAGCAAGCACAATTTTTCTGTTTTTATAACATAAAATATCTTTAAATCATTGATGTAATTAAAAGTCTAATGCATTCCATCGCTTATAAGAATTCAACACATAAGTCTTACACACTTACATCAAAATTTTTTTTATTATTATTAAGGACACAAGTTGACTTCATAGTGTACTACTTTACCTAGCAACTGATGTTAGGGCTTTTTCCAAACAACAAATAATTAAATGCATTTGGTAAAACAATTTCAACCCAACAACATGTCTACTGAGAGTGAATACGCTATTTCTAAAACTAAAGGACCAATTTTTATAATACTTGTACAAATTATTTATTGAAGGTAAGTAATATTTTAATAAGATTTAGTATGCATAAGATTTATACAAATACAAAAATGGAATTCGAAGTGAGCAATCAAGGCATGTCATCCGCATGACAAGAAAGTGATCTCAGGAGCCTGTAGTACTTCATAGAGGGTTTCATGATGTATTTCCCCAAGATAGTTCAATTACATCAGAATCAACCAAACATTAACCTGTTCATAAAGCCTCATTATTGATATGTCTTGGTGGATTTGAACGTCTGTGGATGTAGCATTGTCTGTCTGGTGGTGTTCATAAGAGTCTACTGGAAGAAGACAAGGTTAGTACTGGTAAATGAGGCATAAAATAGAACAGGAAGAATGAATTTTAGATCTGAAAACCTTAGAAACTCCTGGTTTATTTAAGTGAGCTCTCTGGCTCTAAGTGCCCTTGGGTAGAATGATCTTATTTCTCACCTCTGAAGGCCCTGCCCCTCTCATGCTCAGGAGTCCTCCTGTTTGAGTGAAAAACTATATGTGGTTACTCTTGTTCTGTGAGTCTATATCTATAGACAAGTTATAAATAAAGAACAAAAATTAATGTGTGAATGGTTCATTTGAGTCACGAAAATCTCCTTTCCCAGAAAGGTTTAAAATAAAAATTTCTATTTCTGGAACACAGATCACATTGAAAACGATGCTTTCTCATCTCATGATATCAATGTATATGGATGCGTGTGAGATGCTTCCTATTTTTGAGGCTAATCTTGATTGTAAAAATGAAAATTAATTTAAATTTGCATTTGGCATCTTGACCCATAGGTCATTTTTTAAATCAACAATTCTATATTTGCAAACAAATTAATCATGAAATTCAAGATGACATATGATTTTAATGTTTTCTAGTACTAGGAAACAATACATTATTTTTGTATGGTATATATTATATTATTCAACTATTGTCATTAGAATAATTAGTGAAAGTTTTTAGCAATTTATTGTAATTTATTCTATTTTCTTCAAATTTTCATAAGTTATTATAAACATAAATGGATGTGTAATGCACAGAATAAATAATTTAAAGAGTAGCATGATGTACTTTGAATAAGAACTTGGAGACCTGTGAAAAGTTGAGAAATTGGGTATCTGCAGTCCCATCCTGCCCCCTAGTGTTCTCAAATTATAAACGTGGCTTGTTGGCAGGAATAAAAGTAAAAGCCTCTCTCCTTTTCACTAATGAAACAAATCTCAACAACTAGAAAAGGTATGTCCTCCCCCCAACCACACACACACACACATGCACACACACACACACACGCACACACACACACATACACGAATGTACTGAAGTCTATAATTGGGTCAATATAGATGGACTCTTAAACAGCTTATCAGGAATATAAATCAAATTTCCAACAACTCCTAACATAATGGTAAATGCCTCTCACATTTTGATAAGCAAGCTTCTTTTAAAACTTTAGAAAGTATTTGTTCAAAACTATCCATCCAAGCCAGGCGTTGGTAGCGCACGCCTTTAATCCCAGCACTGGGGAGGCAGAGGCAGGAGGATCTCTGTGAGTTGAGACTAGCCTGGTCTACAAGAGCTAGTTCCAGGACAGGCTCCAAAGCTACACAGAGAAACCCTGTCTCGAGAAAACCAAAAAAAAAAAAAACAAAACAAAACAAAACAAAACTATCCATCCAAAATTTTAATCTTTAAAAGGCTATAATATTGTTCCAACTTAAAATTTAGCTGACCTTTCACAAAACCATATCTTGTGCATACTCATTATCTCGAAGACCAAGGTCTTCAAACTTTTCATCACCAGAAAGAAGTTTCTGAATAGTCATCCACTAAGTGCAAACCCTGATCATCTACCATTCAGATAGCAACTATAATACAAAATTTGCCAAAATGACATTCTCTGCTCTTGAGATTTTGCTGTAAACATTTTTATTGTTTGGAACCTTTAAAATTTTTTATACATATTCACAATTTAAAATGATCATACCCACCTCACTCCCAAGAGTTCCCCAATACATCTTGATCCTCAAACTTCATGTTTCCCCTCCTCTTTCTCTCTCTCTCTTTTAATAACTTACTAGGTCTAATTAGTGTTGTTCATATGCACGTGTATAAAGGACATCTTTCAGGTTATGAGAATCTATCACTGTCTTCACTCCTAAAGAAAAGTGAACTGTCAACTGTCAACATGCATCAGCTAGGGATTGGGATCCTTTCCCTCTTCTGTGCTGGAATGTTGAATTGGCTTGATCCTGTGCAGGTCTTATGCAGGTAACCACAGCTGTTGTGGGCAGAGGATAGCATTTCATGGTGTTTCTCTAATCCTCAAACTTACTACCCTTTTTCCACCCCTCTTCCACGATGCTTCCTGAGCTTTGGCCAGTAGGCAGGTGAGGTGTTTGATATTATGTGAGGCAAGGATGATTTCCTTAATTGATGTGTGTTGTTGACAGGAACATGACCAGGTCAAAGACCCCGATGCTTCAGACCCAGGTCAGATCTAGGAGAATAGCAAAGCTTTCCCCCCAGTGTATGTGTACAAAAAGTCTGAGGGAATATTGAAAAACTATTTCAATATCTAGTCATCATCTTCCTAGGGTTTTCCCCCCTATGTTCAATAACTGATCATCTTCCAAAAAGCATTATAGAGCTTCTATTTGTCTGGGAATATAATTAGTCAAAAATGTGAGAAAATGGAGCATTATATCCACATATACTAGAAATCAAAGCCTCCAGGTTTAGTAAACATTCTTCTTCAACCATGGGCCTTTCTTGGATTTTTTTTATTTAACTATGAAAAACATATGAAAAGAACTTGATACAGTATTTACTATAAAACTAAGGATGTTGGTTTATGTTGAGCAGAAGAAGCAATGGAAGCATTTAGGCCCTAATCTTCACTTTAGTATTTTAAATGATTTTTAAATTTGATTCCTTAATCTCATGTTACTTATGATTTTACTACATATGTATCATCACATTAGCTGATCTCTATTTTGCTGCAAGATTATTCAGATTAAAATGTTGAATTTCATAAAAATTCATTCCTTTACTGAAATTGATGCTTAAACTTTTATTGAAATTGATACTTAAACTTTGTTTTTTATATTTATTTTTCACTATATTAAATAATGATTAAATGTGAACTATAATTTAATTAAAAAAAAACCCTCAGACAGCCTAGGCCTTACCCCAAATAACTTGACAGATTTTGATGATCCTTCATGAAAGGACTCAACCTCCCTAGGGAGGGGAGGGAGGGGAGGTGATGGGGGGGTCTGTGGGGGAAATGGGATGGAGAGGGAACTGGGATAGATATATAAAATAAGAAAAATATTAAATTAAAAAATTATAAATAATAAAGATACCCCCTCCTCAGTTTTCTTTCACCTCCTTGTCCACCTTCCCCTCTCCTCCCTGTTACCCTTTATAAAATAAATTGCTATGAACCACTCTGTCCCAGCCCTCTTTATTCAGGATTCCGAGTAATGCTTTCTAAGAAACTAATGGTGTTCCTGGAATAATCCAAGGGCTGGACCTGAGGGACTGAAAGAGTGGGGAATTTTATGTAGCATAAAGAATGCAGGAAACATAATCATGGCCTCTGTGTTCAAGTCAAAGAGCTTACAAAAGACTGGAATACCCAAAGACAATGAAAATAAATGAAGGCTAACTTCATAAAAAAAATAAGATAAAGTAATAACTGTGGATAGGAAATTAACACCCCCTATATGAGTAATTGACTAGTTTTGCAGCATTTCTCCTTTCTTCTGATGTGGGAATGGACCCCGTGTACTAAAATAGTTTGAACTGGAAGCATCTATATAATGTGTAGTTATATAATTTTTATTTAATAATTTTTTGCTTTATACAATAATTAATGCAATTGTTGGTGGAAATTCAAACTTAGAAAGCTTACATAGACTTTTAAAAGTATTTTTAAATTTATGTATACATATGTATCTTTGTATGTACCACATGTGCATGGGTGCCTGTGGAGATCAGAAGAGGACATCAGAGCACCTGGAGCTGGAGTTGCAGATGGCTGTTAGCCAGCCACCCAACACCCAAGTGCTGAAAAATAAGCTCATTCATGTCTCATGGGAAAGCATGAACCTACTCTTAGCTACTCACTCATGTCTTCTGCTCTTCCATGGATCTTTAAAGCATGTGTACTACTTTCTTTGACAAATAAGAAACCATAATGTAGCTGAGCATTAGTGGTGCACGCCTTTAATCCCAGCACTCAGGAGGCAGAGGCAGTCAGATCTCTGTGAGTTTGAGGCCAGCCTGGTCTACAGAGTAAGTTCCAGGACAGCCTCCAAAGCAATACAGAAAAACCAACCCTGTCTCGAAAAACCAAAAAAAAAAAAAAGAAAAGAAAAGAAAAGAAAATAGAAAGAAAGAAAGAAACCATAATGTATGAGTACACTTTTATAACTGAAAGAGACTATCAACAAGTTCTAAGTAAAGATGCAAATACAGAGTGAAGCAGGGACAATGATTTTTATTTGGTTTTACAACTCTGTACCTTTACGATAAAAAACCAGAAGTCCTTTAGTAAACACAGTCAAGTTTATTGTTCAGGGTAGAATATTGTATTTCTCACATCATTAAAAACAAAATTATTTGAGAAGGTTTAGACTATCAGAGTACATAATGTTCGTGATCAAAACAAATAAAGATATATCTTCAGTAGATGTTTGCCAATGGAAAATGAGATAACTGGTTCATGTGGTTAGTAGTATGAGAACTTGTAATTAAATGGAAAATTGTTTAAAAGGGACTGAGATAAAATTCACAGTAGCCAGTTAATAAATTACAGCTTTAAAAAAGTACATTGGCTAGATCAGAAAAGAAACACTAATGAATACACATTCTTAGCCGACAAAATGGCCTGGAAAATTAACTACTAATATTGTCATTAAAACTATTGTAGTAGAAGAATAGACATCATAGTAAAAATATCTTGTGAAATATTTAGTGAAATTAATGTAACAGTAATATGTTTATATCTTAACACTAATTAAATTTCCCATTCACTACTTTCATTGAAGGCTTCTTTTTTCTTGAGGTTTTAATTAGTCCTTCTTTTGATATTCTTTTGATGAAACCTACAAGAAGAACAATAAATTATAAGATAACAGTGAACAAAGAACACATAGGAATTTATCTCAAATTTTCTGTCTTTCATTTGTCTCTGTATTTTTGTAAAATAATCTATTTTTAAGAAAGTCATTTTGCCTGTGTGAAAGTCACCAAAACTTAGTAAGTATGCCATCATTCCGTTAAAAATACATGCTTATTTTTGTAAAAGGGTAGATATGTGATAAATGTGTGGTTACTAGAGTAACAGATTATTTTATTTAATTTCTATGTTCTTAGTAGTCTTTGTGTTCTTTGTATTATATCATTATTATATTTAGGAGAAAAGGAATCAAACTGTTAAAGTTTTGGTGTATTAAAAGAGAACTTACAAAGATTTTCATGTATTTCTTTAAAATAAATTCTTAGTTCTTAAACATTCAAGAAAGAAATTTGGGGCTGAGAGATGGCTCAGCCATTAAGAGCGCACTGCTCTTGCATAGGACTGACTTCAGCACCTAACACTCACTTTAGTCAGCTCATAAACACCTGCAACCTCACTTCCAGGGGATCTGACACCCTATTTAGACTCTGAAAACACCTGAACATACATGACATATCCACATCCAGACACACAGAAAAACAAATTAAAAATCTTTTTTAAAAAATTAAGATTTTGAATCTATTTGAAATTGATAATTATTCTGCAATACATATAAAGAACAATTATAGCTAGCATATCTACTAGTATTATCTAAGTTTAGTGGGTGGGAAGACAAATACTGACTAAGATATTATATGACTTCTTATACGTAAGGAAATATTTGTTGTTTCATAAGTTAAACTGTTTTATAATTTCAACATAATTATCATTCCAAACATTAGTGGTCTAATGGGAAGCATTTCATACCTCTTTTACATGCCCTAACACAGTCTTTTTTGGTAGTAAAATTATTATTATTTCCCCCACATCCAGTGTACTTAAATTGACGGCATTTCCCAATGGCTGAATTGTAGAAGAATCTTTTTTCATTGGCTTTACATAATCCACTGTCTGCTGGACTAAGACACCATGAAGGGCCATGATATTCTATAAATAAATAAATAAATAAATAAATAAATAAATAAATAGAGGTTTTTAAACCCAAAAATTTGTTAAGTTCTATGCATGGTGAATCTGAGCCTTCTTGTGATGTATTGCTTGCAGATTAGCCTGATGGCATGTCTTCTGAATAAAGCAGAATCCTGCAAAGATTAATACACAAGAAAGCCCAAGAGTTTCAATTCTCAGAATATGCTTAAACAAATTGAAATGTCCATAATACCATGATCTTTCTCCAATGAACAAAACAAAGCACATTTGATAAAAGGAAAGTCTATGGTTAGTGTTTATATGAAAAAATTAGTTATACACAATTAAAAGAAATCCTACTCAACAACTTACCTTTTGAAACTTCAACTATATATTTACAAAGACATATAAATTAGTATATATGAAATAACTTTTCCATAATAAGTCACTGGTTTGGAATAGATAGCTTAGTTTGTCAACAGAACCAACAAATGATCAAAAACCAAGAACATGCAACTAGGATGATAATAATAACTCGAGTGTGAAAAGTAGTTGGAGTTTAGTGATGCTTTGTAAAATTTCTTTGGTGATTTCTCTCAGGAAGGGTAAGCTGGTACTTCTCAGCTGTCCAGCTATGTCTGATGGTCGTAAACGAAGGTCATAAGTAAGGTGTTGGATGGTGGTGAACTATGAAAGAAAACTTCAGTGACATCAGCACATGCAGAGGAAACCTGGATAAATGTTCATGGACAGAAAATACCCATGGGCAGAAGAATCCAGTACCCAGTAAAGGCAAGCAGGCTATGCAGAAAGCAAGTAGCACATAAACCCTAGATGGAAAAAGACTGTAAAAGAATATAATTAAAGTGAATGACACATAAGGAAAGTCTTAATTTGATAAGCACATTTTTGTCACCTCCTGCCTTCTAGATATATGATTAGAAATCAGAATGCCTGAGCATAATAACTGACACACTGAGTGACTGAGGATGATGGAATAATACGTAAGAAAAATTTATAAAGGTAATGTGAAAAATGTAAGATTCATACTCACAGAAAGAATATTTAGTTTCATTTAGATCTTTGGCTAAATACATAAACACTGATTTTGAATGAAACCTTTAATATCTTCAAAGCTGTGTTCATACAATGTCTAGGCTACTATTTTATATTCTGCATCCTTGAACGTGAATGCTCTCCATCACAAACCTGAGTTAAGATCATGTGATGGGAATGGGCTCTAAAGGATCCAGCACATGCTAGCACTTTCTGCCATAAATAGTTTAAGAAAGTAATTCCAAAGGTAGAGGAGACATCGCAGTTGGGTCCTCCTTTGTCTAGCTACTCCAGTGGGTATCCTGTGTTTTTTCATTCCTCCCAAATTCAGATCTGAACTTCGCCTCCTTTGTCACCTGAACTTCCAAAGCCACCAGGCAAGGTCAGAAACAAAAGTGGCAGACTAGAAGCAACTGAATGGAATTGAGAAACAGAGGAATTTGTTACTTGTTTTATGGTTTTTGCCATTAAGCACAACATATATTTCATAACAAATTATATATAGAGGATATGTAATGTATTCATCATTTTCACTTTAGTGTTTCTATACAAGATGTGTCAGTCCACAGTAAGTTGCAGATAATGCATGTTAATGTATCAATATCTATAACTGTATCTTTCTTTAAAAATGTTAATTACTATATTTTAATAGCAATGCCCACCCTAAGGCCCTTAATGTCAGGACAGAAAAAATTTCATTCTCTGAGAGCAACTCCTTCTCCACTTAGCATATGACCTGATGAAAGTTTAGTATCATAATCAAAATCAAACACATTTCCAAATGAAGAAAAGTTAATTTGACTACTGTCCCTAGACTGGAAGTAAGAAGTAAGAATGTTACCAAGAGCCTACATCCCAGGTTCAAACTAGAACCAGAACAGGTATTTCTAGGGGAACATAACTCATGAAGTATAATGGCCACAGGTATAATGGGCACATAGGCTCTAACCTCTGTCTTCCTTTAACCATCTAACAATCCAGGAATATTCACAATTGACCAACAAACTCAGAAGCGTGAAAACAGGTTTAATGCAGCACTGTGCAGCAGAAGGGCATGGGTTGTATGAAAGCAGACAGTTAAGACCACAGGTGAACCAGAAAAAGCTTCATTGCCAATTTAACCACCCAGGACTTCACATTTCTGCCACCTATACACAGTGACTTCTGCCTACATGTCTAGCATAGTTCTGGGAGCTGGGGTCAGCACACAGATACACAGACCTCCTGTTATCACACACTCACTCGCTCCACTCAGAGGCATCTAACCCAAGAATGAACAGTGGCACCTGTTTATTTATCTATTTTGTTAGTCCTGATACCAGATCTACACAAATCCAATACAACATACCTTTGACAACATCAGCAATCATGTTCCTAATACTGGAAAGATGCTATTTTCAGAGTGGAGTATAATTTGAAATTCATCACTAAGTATTCAGTACTGTACATAGTAAAGTATTAAGATATACAAAACAATTTTCAATTTGGGAGTCTTTTCATAAAGTACTTGTTTTCCCAGAACATGAATTAAAGATGATATTGAAGTGAACTCCTTGTTTTTAAGATTATGTTAATGCTAACTATAATTCAATAATTTTAATATAAATGATAGGTAAAGTAAAGCAGACAGTTTCTGCAGAATGTTTAGAGTCCTTGAATGGCCATCTAATTAAATTTTCAGAAGTGAGGAAAATGGAATATGTTTGTATCCTGTGAAAAGATAAATCTGCCTGTGTTCAGTTACAAAGTTATTCTAAACATAGGTAGACACTCACCTATTTAAATAGACACTGATGTCTACAATAAAAGAAAATAGGTTTTGAAGTAGTTGCATAGTATGATTCTTTGGTCTAGATTATGATTAGTGACAAAAATTTAAGATAGAATAAAAAGACATTAACCTGCCTGGTTTCTCCTCATGTTCCAGCTATGATGAATTTTTTTAATTAAATAAAATTTATTGACAAATGAACAAGGATTTTTTTTCTTCTGTATGATATGATTGTGACCAAATTCTAATTCTAATGATCAAGCTACACAATAAAATTTGTGTACAAATAAAATTTGACTACAGTTAATTCAGTTCCCTACAGTGATAAATAAAATGCTACAGACTGAAACCCGCTCTAGTTGGCGTTGGACAATAAAGCCACTGTCTCCTTTGCTTTCCAGAAAACACACATCCATTGACTAGAAGGGAAGTTACTGAACCTGTAGAAACTGATACTACTTCAGTCAACATTAAAAAGCAGGCAAGGGCTGCTAAGCAATTTCTCAGATGATTAGTTCTCTTTCCCTTCATGTACTAGGCCACTTAGTGGAGAGTAAAATGTAGAGGCTGTATAGTCAGGAAATTTGAGATCAAAAGGTCGTAGGAAGAGACTATAAGAAATCTTTCCTGGTCCTTTTGTGCACCAGGGATACATCCTGGTTCCACTGTCTGAGGTCCCTTAGTCTGAATATGGCTAAGACCCATATTCAGGGGGGCCTGAGTCAATCCCATGCTGGCTTCCCAGCTATCAGTCTGGGGCCCGTTAGCTCCTCCTTGTTCAGGTCAGCTGTCTCTATGTGTTTCTGCAGCCTGGTCTTGTCCTCTCCATCTGCATCTGGGTTCTAGTTCGACTCAGTGTTTAGGTATGGGTGTTTGCTTCTGTTTCCAACAGGTATTAGATCAGGGCTCCATGCATAAGTTAAATGACCTGTCAGATCTACATGACCCCAACTGGATAGCATTGCCCTACATATGGAATTGGGGTGGGGGGGATGGGAGGGGAGGGTGGTTAGGGCAGAGAGGGTAAAAGGGAGGGAGGGAGAGGGAACTGGGATCGACATGTAAAATAATAAATTAAATAAAGAAGAAAGAAAGAAAGAAAGAAAGAAAGAAAGGAAGGAAGGAAGGAAGGAAGGAAGGAAGGAAGGAAGAAAGAAAGAAAGAAAGAAAGAAAGAAAGAAAGAAAGAAAGAAAGAAATCTTTCCTGGACAGGAAAGCCTACATTAAAAGGGAAAGAGAGAAACTAAGTAGGTGTTTGTTTGCTTTTGCCTAGAGGTTGACTAATCCATACTCAAAGTTCACTATGGTATCTATACTCAAGAATTTTTCTTGACAATCCAGAAAGCAAAAAGGCTTTAGACAATGACCATTATGAAATTTTCATGAACATATTTTTTAAGTATTTTACCAGGAAATATATGTTTGGAAAAATATACTTACAATCAGTACCATTTTCATCTTCAAATATTGTGCAGAGGGGCTGGAGAGATGGCTCAGCAATTAAGAACACCTGCTGCTCTTGCAGAGGACCCACGTGGCCATTTATCTGTGATTCCAGTCCAGGAACTTAAACTGGCTGCCTTAGGCAATGTACAGATGAGATGGGCAGACATACATGCATGCCAAACTCCCATACACACACAATAAAAATAAATTTAAATATACTATAGTGAGAACCCTGTATAGGAAATGCTATAAATAAAGGTGTATCACAGACCAATCACTTATTGTCTTCTGTTTGCTTGATATATTGGTTAGCTCTAATAGAAGAAAGGGATTTTAGCAATCGGAGTAGAATGGGTGAGAGCACAAAATGAGAGTATTCCTAGTTTATCTGGAGGAGTATGTTAGAAGGTCTAGACTAGTAAAGAACAGAGCATAACAAACAAAATAGTAGAGTATAAAACTAACTATAGGCAACTGAGGAAATCTGGAAGTGAAAAAACTAGTCTTCCCCGGAGAAGACTTGGGAGCAAGGATATTTACCATGGGATCTACATCATTGGTACCCACATTTTAAATTTCAACTTATCCCGCCATACCGCCTGTAAGATCTCATCACAAAAGCCTTCTCCTATCTGACAATTATATCTCTAAAGAACAAAACCACCCTCTTATTTTCATTCTTCCATTTCCAGGTTCTATTGCAATTTCCATTAGCCAGGTATTCAAATTTATAAATTTCACTTAAATTAGAAAGCACACAAATCTATGCCTCAGATCATAAAGGTGAATAGACAGATGTTTAACACCTCCAATGATCACAATAAAATCCAGAGACACAAAAGATAAAGCTTTATTTAATTAATTATGCTTGGAGTTTACAAGCACTGTGTGTTAAGATAACTATAATGAATTAATATTCTTCAATTCAAGGTTACAACTTTAACTGTATTAAAACTATTATAAAATATGCATTAATATCTTTGAACTACTTCTTTAACATCTATATATCTTAGGTGAATCTGGGTTTTAAAATTGTCTTAAAATCAATATTCTCATAATAACAACACGGATAAAGAGTTTTACATGCTATTACAGGATTTTAAATACCGTATGACATACTGCATTCCACATGAGGCAAAGAAAGACCTGGAGGCTGAGAGAAACTGCATGCTTTTTTTCCAAGGGTACAAAGCAAGTGGGGAAATTAAAGAACTGGAATTAAACTCAAATTCCAATCACAAAGCCAATGTTCTAGCCAACCATGAGGCATCACTCTAAAGCCGAGTAGAAAATACTTCTAGACTTATTGGGCAAATACCTCAATAATTTTATCGGATAAAGTTTGTGACACTTCATTATTTATCATCTCCAAATCCCTTCTCCCCATCAGTCTCTGATCAAAACAATCTAAATGTGCCTCATGCACTGTCATATGGATGAATTGGTGTTCAAGTCTGAACAGGAGGAAAGTGCCTAATTGAAACAGAAAACCTAATAAGGAGGCTGGAAACCAGCCTTGGGGGCAGCAATGGTGAGCCAAATAGCTATCCAACATCTGAAGGCAGGGATCATTAGGTTGGCATGTTCAACCTGGCCTCATTCTAGAAATCACAAAGCATAGCCCAGGCCTTTATGTCTCTGTGATCAGATGCATACCAGTGAGTAAGCCCCTGGCATTCGTACAACTGGAAACCGGGAACACAGCCCTGTGGTATTGTGAAAGGTAGAGTTGTGAGCTCTTTAGTGGCACTCATTTCTCCAGAGATCGTCCAATCTTTAAAGATAAAAATGACACTCAGAGAATTAAGACTTAGAGTAGTGCAGACTTTTCTAAACCTAATCCTTTTGTTGTCAATACAAAATTCATATTCCAATATGGCTATCCCTACAGTTTTAAGAAAAAGAAATCTTAACAAATTAATAGTGATAGTAGTTTGGTCTGTGTTACTATGCAACTAAGTTTTGGTTGTAGTTTATAATTGTCACAAACTTAAATTTCTATTGTTTTATTCAGTACAAATGCCATTTAAACTAATCTGATTGACAGTGAAATTGTCCACTTCATCTTTTGTAAAAGTATCTGTTGACGTTTGAAAAACATTTCTCTAGAAGGCTCTGCTGTCTGGGACAACCATTATCTTTGATTAGACTCAAAATTGTGAAGAGATTTGCCAGGTAGGAAGGGTGACAGCTGCGATTTTGGCAGAGGCAGAGTGCCACATTTTTGTTTCTTGCCAGCACTCCTGCCAGGAAGTAGAAGGCCTGATGTGAGCTCTGCTAACGCTGTCTATTTATGGAAAGCCAGCTTGCCAGGGTGTCAGCACAAGCTACCAGATTTACTATGCAGGAACACGTAGGATGAGATACATTCTATGCTTCTCAGTGAGAATACATCTGAAGGCCACCGTACTTGCTTCAAATTGTGTGTGCTTGCCGATGAAATGAGGGTTACAGCACTGTCCACAGCACTCATGATTTTGTGGGGTATGCATTTAAATGTGTAACTCCTTAGTTGGTAGGGGGGATATTTTCTTCCCAGAACATTTACGTGATTACATATAATCATTATCTTCCAAGAGAACATAGAAGTAATATTCTATTGCAGTGGTGACATTTAATTATTGGATAGCTTCTCTGTCAACATTACTCCTCTTCCAGAAGGCCAATGATAATAATCTATATACACATATATATGTATTTAATTTTTCCACCATTTTCTGTGTATGTGGAGTTTGGCCCTAGGTCATGTGTTAGATTGAGTCAGGAGAAAGTTTCAAGTGGCCATGAGGTCTTCTTTTTTACATCTAGTCACTCTCCCTGGACCTGGTGGCTGGCATGAAGCAGTATGGCCCTGGGTCAGTACTTGGGTGATCATTTTCTCATTCAGAGACCAAGTGCTGGAGACTGGGATAGCAGTAGGCTTTTGAAGTCTAACCAAAGACGAGTGTTTTCAAAATATCATAAAGGTGTTGTAGTCCCAAGGCAACTGTTAAGAGATGATGTATAGAAGAAAAGTCGGCTATGAGAATTTAGAAAATTATTTATTTTTCTTCCAAGAAAGGTCAAGTCTACCCCCAAAGACCCAGAACCAATATGATTATTCTTCCTCTCTTAGTTATAAGTTTACCAGTTACACATAGTAGAAGACTATACTAACTAAAATGTTAATGTTAAAGCTTTATTAGTTATGAGTATAAAAACATCAAGTATCTAAATATTAAGTAAACCCAAAGGTAATGCATAATAGGCTATACATAGAACATTATCCAACCCTAAAGATAAAAAGTGTGAGTACATGAATGTAGAAGGCGTTCAGAAAGACGTGGTAAGTATAATCAGCATTCTTCCAACCACCATTTGTTCCTTCTTTTGTAACTGTGAATCACAAAATTAATAAATAAAACATGTAAGTCATCTATCGTATGCTTAACATTGAGACAAATGCTGGAACAGAGACAGGTGATAAATAGTCATACTCAAAACCTTGTAGCATAGTAACTTAAGCAAAGCAAACACATCAAATGATAGCCATGTTAAATGAATCTGATTGGGTAGCCAGAGTAAAGGCAGAGAAAGGAGGCTTCTATACAATAGTGAATCCATAGGCAAATAGATGAGCAGGCCAGTGAATACCAGTTGGGGAAAAAAATGCATAGGACAGTTTGGGGAATGAACATGGATAACTTCTGATTAAGAATAATGACAATGGATGGAAAGTCTTATATTTAAAAGCTGATTTTTTAAAATATGGCATAGCTAAAAAGCAAACAGAAAATGTTGACAAATTCAAACTAAGTAACGAGGCTAAATTAAACAAGCAAAGAACACATCATTTGTACATTTCTACATGTTTCATACACATTTCTACATGTTACACACACAGAAGCCCTACTTCAAAGCATATCTTTTAAAAAAAAATTAAGAAAAATGACTACTTTTATGAGATTAGGTGCCTTAAACACATCAAATATCTCTATTTTAACATACCCTCAAATAATAAAATCATTATTCTTTAAAAAAAGATACACACATCCAATTCTATTGTTGCCATAACATATTCATAAAATAATAATAAAAATAAGGTTCTTACCCCAACGTCTGTGCGCTTTGGTAGATTGGGAGATCAAAGTGTTATTTGCAGTACTGAGATCAGGTGGTGCAGAAGTGTTTACCTGTAACTCATTCCCTGGGGAAGAAACAATGTGAGCCATCATAATCTGAAAGCACAACAGAATCTCCTATTTTTGTATACAGGCAAATGCAACTGTTGGCTTAAGGACAGCAGACTTTTTGTTGTTCTAAATTAGCAAATAAGGAAGTTTAAATACATATGCAAGTTGAGATTTCCATTAGTAATTTTGTAGCTAGTGACCAAAATCCTGCAACACTTCATTCATCAGGTTTCCTTTTCTTGTTTTTTATGAGTAATTATCAACCCTCATATTGTATAAGAATAAGAGGTTTCAGCAGTCCTATACTGCTGAATGTACTGAATGTATATTGCAGTACTCTGAGAACTATACGAGATTTAGGGTAACTGCAGAGATGTGTTGATTATTTGTATTTATTTTTTTAATCAGGACAGGGAATCTCTTTCAGACCTAGTTTCTGTTTGTGCAGCATGAACAAAATCTGGATACACCCTCAAGGACTCCTCATCTGAAATGATCCCTGTAAAGGGACCCAAATGACATAAGAAATGAACTCACCGGTATCCTCACAGGTGATCTTGCAGGAATCCAAAGTCTCAAAGTTATTGAGGTTGCCTAGGCACCCACCATACTTGAAGCTCTCACACTGCTTGGACTGGTTGTTATAAAAGTACCTAGTAATGAGACCTCGGCAGATCCCAGGGTCCTCTTCCAAGAAGCAGAAATCTGGCTTCTCTATAAACAGCAAAACACATCAGAAAGAGATACTCTTATTACCACTTAATTATTTTCATAAAATTTATAATCATCTTATTTAGAAGATAAATTTAAAACCAATTTTAAAAGTTTAAAGGCTAAACTAGAAGATAATTGTTATCTCATTAAAAAATAAATAAAATAACTTTATTAAGAACTGAACTATTATCTAAAGATGAAACTATGTCTTATATTTTTATCTGGTATTTCAGTTCTATATTTCTTATATTTGATTACAGAGAATTATGATCAACATTTTTATGAACCAATAAAATAAAGGATAGTGGGTTATTTGATATACACTGACCTTGTTCTAAAAGTACAAAGTATTATGGTAAGTATTGCTTTAATTATTTCTATTAAGTTTAATGTACTGATATTAAAGAAAGATCTGCTGAAGTTTTGGAAACTACTAGGGAAGGAGTGCTATGTTAGTTCATTAAGGGTGCTATAGAGGCTTTAAACATTAGAAAGGATCTTAGAGGTACGGAAGTTGGCCTGGCTATTCTTGGAAGTTCCTGAATTCTTATGCTGGAATTAATATCTGTGCTCAGTATAGCATCCTTCACTGTTGGGTCTCTCCCTCCCTACCTACCCTCTCTTTTTTTTCTTCTTCCAAGCACTGGACCAAACCAACAATGTAGAGTCAGAAAGGAAATACATGTTCAGGGATTAGAAGAGCTTTTGCACAGTCTAATACCCTTTCTTTGTTCACGTTCCAAAAAAGGCTAAACACAGCTGTCACAAAATCTGCAAAATTGTGACCTACATTACAATCTCTGTCTACATGCATACTGTGAAGAGAACTGAGCTAGTTTTCAAATGTATTAAGCTCAAAAGTCTTATTGCACAGGAATATTTTAGACACAGTTCCAATTCCTCCATTTTCTCCTATATATTTCTGTGGTAGCAAAATGAACTATGATACCCTTCCATGTCTTAAAGCAACTTGTTTTTTTATATAAGGAAGTCAGTGCTCACAAGTGTTCTACAATCAAAAGAGCATGCTTTCCAAGCATTTCAGACACATAGTCTAGAGCTCCTAAGCTGGAAGAGACCTGAAAGTCTCCTCTCTGAGGATTGGTTCTCATAGTACCAGAATGTACCATTCAAGCTTCCAAAGGAGGAAGGTGACCAAAAGTCCTACCCTGCTACATCTATAAACAAAACTGACCAGACAACAGTATCTTGATGGTAACCAACAGGTCTTAAGACCCCACTAAATGAAACTCATGCCTGATTCAAAAACCTAGACAACTACCCAGAGATAATGAAGTCATGGATCTTAGAGAACCTATAACAACTTTACTAAATCAGCACAATCCCAATCTCAATATTCACACAAGTGTCATCCTCGCCCCGAATCAAGGAAACTTCTATTTGCAACAGGAGACTATTACAGAAAACTACACCTAATCTAAATGCAAATTTATGAAGATCAATCCCAACTGATGTATCTACAACATAAATCCTGCACCTAAGGCTAAGGGATCATTGTGGAAGAGTGAGTAGAATGAATGTAAGATTCAAGGTTACAGAGAGTTTACTATGAGACTGTCTCTCCTAGGAAAGTCAGAAGCTACACTGATAAAGTCCCGCCAAAATGTGCTGAACAAGAACAATGACAACAGACATATTAAACATGGATCTGGAGAGAGCCATGAGTTCTTGTCCCTACACAAAGGACTACAGGCAATTGGGGAAAGCCGAGAATGTAGAATTCATCTCCAGGAAAGAGCACACCAATTAATTATCTAATACCAAATGGTCAGCCCTGAAAACTGTGGGGGGGTGCATATATGTACCAATGGGATTGAATTAAAGACCCTGTCGTAAATCCACACACCTATGAACACTTAATTTTTTACAAAGAAGCTGAAATTATACTATGGAAAAAAGAAAGCATCTTCAACAAATGATGCTGGCATAGCTGGATGTTTGCATGTAGAAGAAGCTAGATCCATATTTATCACCCTGCACAAAACTCAAGTCCAAGTGGATGAAAGACCCCAATGTGAATCCCAATGTGGGAAATAGCCTTGAATGCATTGGCACAGAAGACAATTCCTGAATAGAACACCAGCAGGACAGACACTGAGGTTGGTAATTAATAAATGGGACTTCCTGAAACTGAAAGGCTTCTGTAAGGCAAAGGACATGGTAAATAAAATGGCAGCCTACAAAATGGAGAATGATCTTTACCAACCTCACATCTGACAGGGGGGCTGATCTACAAAATATGTAAAAGAATTCAAATTACCAAATAATCCAAGTAAAACATGGGGTACAGATCTAAATAGAATTCTCAACAGAAGAATGTCAAATGACCAAAAGACATTTAAAGAATTGCTCATCATTCTTAGTCATTAGGAAAATGCAAATCAAAACAACTTTGAGACACCATCTTACACCTGTCAGAATGGCTAAGATCAAAAACACTGATGACACTTATGCTGAAGAGGATGTGGAGTAAGAGGAACACTCCTCCACTGCTGGTGGGAGTCAAGCTTGTAGAGCCACTTTGGAAATCAGTGGTTTCCCAGAAAATTGGGAATCAATCTACCTCAAGACCCAGCTATACCAATCTTGGGCATATACCCAAAGGATATTCAATGACACCACAAAGACACTTGCTCAACCATGTTCATAGCAGCTTTATTCATAATAGCCAGAACCTGGAAACAACCTAGATGCCCCTCAACTGAAGAATGGGATAAAGAAAAATGGAGTATTATTCAGCAGTAAAAAAAAAAATGACATCATGAAATTTGCAAGAAAATGAATGGAACTAGAAAAAAATCATCCTGAGTGAGGTAACCTATACCCAGAAAGACAAACATTCATAAGTGGATATTAGAAATAAAACAAGGGATAACTAGGCTACAATCCACAGCCCCCAGAGAAGTTAGGTAACAAGGAGGATCCTAAGAAGGATACATGGATTTCCCCAGGAAGAGAAAAAGAGATGAGATCTCCTGGATAAACTGGGGGTAGGGAATATAGGGATGGGAGTGGAGGGGAGGGGATGGAGGGGATGGGAACATAAGGGATAAGGTTGGGGGTGGGACACAGGAGGTGAGTAATGAAAGACATACCTTGATAGAGGCGGCCATTTGGGGATTAGGGAGAAACCTGGTGCCAGGAATCCACAAGCTAAGTATCCTAGCAATAGTGGAGAAGGTGCCTAAACTGGCCTTCTGTAATCAGATTGGTGACTACCCTAATAGTCATCACTGACTCATGACTGACAGCTGGGGAACTACATAAGACCTAACTAGGCCCTCTGAATGTGGGTGACGGTTGGGTGGCTTGGGCAGCTTATGGGGCCACAAACAGGAGAACCAGTATTTACCCCTAATATATGAACAGGCAACTTTTGGAGCCCATTCCCTGTGAAGAGATATCTTGCTCAGCCTAGATAGCAGGGAGGGTCTTAGTCCTGCCTCAAGTGATGTGAGAGGCTGTCTTGATTCCCCATGGAAGGTCCTGGGGAATCCACTCTCTGAGGAGTGGATGTGGGGGTGGGTTGGGGAGAAGGTGAGGAGATCAGGAGGATGGGAGGAAGAGGGAACTGGGATTAGGATGTAAAGTAAGATTGTTCTAAAAATAAAGGGGGAAAAAATAGCCTGTGTCACTCTAGGCAGCATTTCCCAGCCTTCCTGCTGGGACCTTTAGTAAAGTTCCTCATGTTGTGGTGACCCCCCCCCCACTATAAAATTATTTTCATTGCTACTTCACAACTGTAATTTTGCTACTGTAATGTAAATATCTGACACGCAGGATGTCAGATATGCCACCCCTATGAAGAGAGTTGTTTGACCTCCCTGAATGAGGTCACAGCCCACAGTTTGAGAACAAATTCTCTAGAGAGGTTGTGATACAAAACTCATGGCCCAAAATTCAGCCTCACTACTGAACAGGGCCTGTGATGTCTAAGTTTTCACTGTATCCACGTAAGGGAGCATTACCCCTGATGTCATGTAGATTCGGTCAACCTGAAGCAGAGATATACAAAAACTGAATACCCAGCTGTCTTAGATGAATGCTACCAATTTTCACAAAAGGGAAAGTTCACCTGCTCCAGATGTAGTCTTTACAGCCGTCTTTTTATAATCTGCAAGAGAAAGTATGTGAATTAATGGCCATCACTTATAATGTCATATTATGAACTTGACCTTAAACTAGAACAACTACATGATCCCATTGTCTTAATGACTCAAGATTATTTTTATTCATAGATTGCTATAATCAGCCCTTTTTTGCTTGTTTTATTATTGCTATTATTGGTTGTGGTAGTGTATATGCAGAGTCTTTTAAATGCTATTTAAAAGTCTACCACTAAATTGAACCTCCAGCTCCCATGCCCTTTTCTTGAAAATTATTTTAACTGATATATAAAAATGTAGACTTATACATAGTAATAGGGTGTTGTGTCATATTTCAATACACATGTATATTGAGTAATATTTAGGTGAGGCTAAATGTATCTACCCCTCAACTACATATCAACTCTTTTTGCTGAAATCTTTTTAAGAACTCTTCCATGCAGCTTTTGGAATATATAATATCTTGTTGCCTGTAGCTCCCCTACTATGCATTAGCATCAGGTAAAACTATCATTGATAAAATTTATAAACATTGATAAAATGTTGTAAAATTATGACTTGACTACAAAGTAAGTATCCACTAAAGTTTAATGATCATTATTATTTGTTTTATAGTCCTACATCAGTAAAAGCAACACCAAAGCTAGGTTAGGTAAAGTTTACAGGGCAGGGATGAAATTTTGATTTTTTTTTCTACAGTATTAAAATTGCAGTAAGAATGACTCATTTCACCCACACATAAACACTGAGTCGAAGTAGAACCCAGATGCAGATGGAGAGGACAAGACCAGGCTGCAGAAACACATAGAGACAGCTTACCTGAACAAGGAGGAGCTAACGGGCCACCAGACTGATAGCTGGGAAGCCAGCATGGGACTGACTCAGGCCCCCCTGAATATGGGTCTTAGCCATATTCAGACTAAGGGACCTCAGACAGTGGAGCCAGATGTATCCCTGGTGCACAAAAGGACCTTGCAAACATATCCCCCATGGAGGGATACTGCCTTAATCTAGAGACAGGAGAGAAGCCCTAGTCCCTACTTCACATGACCTGTCAGATCTACATGACCCCAACTGGATGGCATTCCCCTACATATGGAATTGGGGTGGGGGGGAAGGGAGGGGAGGGTGGTTAGGGTGCATGTGGGAGGACAGAGAGGGTAAAAGGGAGGGAAGAAGGGAGGGAGGGAGAGGGAACTGGGATCGACATGTAAAATAATAAATTAAATTAAAAAAAAATGCTTTGACTCCAAAATTTAAGTTCAAAAACAAGTTACTGGGGAAAAGGATTTCTATTTTTGTTTCCACAGAAAATGAAAAGTTGTGGATTCCTTCCAGACTAATGTGGTTTGATCAAGCCAGACCACCTGAAACAGATTACCAGGTGATCCTACATTCAAAACAGCTGGACAAAGCAGCCTTACAGACTACAGCCAGGATTTCTGCATCTTCTTAGAATCCCCCATGACAGCGCCCCTTACCAGCAGGAAGTAGTTTGGAAAGAACAACGCCCAAATTCCCAAATATTGTCTATAAATGTTTGTTTTCATTTAAATGGATTTGGTTATATAAAATAAATAAATAAATTTTAAAAAATTTTAAAAAAAGGCAAAGTTCTAAACTCTGGCTTGGATCAGGAAAAATAAAAAAAGAATGACTTTTCTAGGTCAGGCTTAGAAGTGCTAAGCTGACTGGCATTGTAAAAATCTGTATGTGTTAATATATTTATCTTTGGAGCCTGACATTCAGTTCCGTGATTCTGGGGAGAGTGTGGGGAGAGCATTCTGTTTATAAAAGCGCAGCCAAGTCTGTGTGAAAAACAAGTCTCTTCCTGCCAACCCAGCTCCAAGGTAAGTTAACTGTACTCATTACATTGCCCCTATGAGGTCTTCCTTCCCTTCCCACCGTAAGGGAGATCCTAACATAAGAAATGAGGCTTCATAATTGTATAACTGACACAAAGAAATCAAAAACAACAGCTGACTAGGAAATCTAGAAGTGTAAACAATGGGATTTCTTGGGAAATAGCACCGTTTTTCTAAAATTACTAAATTTGCATGTAGGCCGAGTAAGCACACAGGCTCTTGTGCCACAGGCTCCCTGGAAACCACCTACCTATGATGCATGTTTCCTTACACTCTTCAAGGGTGTCAAATCGATTTTTGTTTCCTCTGCATCCCCCATATATAAACTCTTCACATTGATGAGTTAAAATATTGAAAAAATAATTCCTTATCATGGCTTTGCACGGCCCATCTTCTACTTGCATTGAGCAAAATGTATGTTTCGGTTTCATTGGTGGCTGTTCCAAAACTAGAAGGTAAGAATAAAAACATCACGTCTAATTCTCTACCGACACAGTGATAATGTCCGTGCTGTCATTTTGTCAAATACATAAGTAACTTTCACTCTCAATTTTTGAATAAGAAAATTAAAACAGAAAAGTAAAGTTATTATGAGTTCAGTGGAAATAACAACCTGAGTGTCTATATATGTTCCATGTCTTTGATAATCTATTAATGACCCTTGAAGAAGGCTCATGAAGCTTTAAATGAAATAAACTAATTCGTCCCCTAGAGGGCAGCAGTGCTCTGCTAAATTAAAGCTATCAGCACATGAATGGACATGGTTTCAATGTTTTCATATAAAGACATTTTAAAACAAATTATAAATTTGCAGACAGATGATAATCAGGTAATAAATTAATTTTTAAAATTTCTTGCAATTTTAAAACAAGAACTTTTGGAAAATATTCATATCAATTTGATTTAGATTGCTTTCTAGTATCTTCTATTTGTATTCTGTTATTACAGTTATATATACTAAACTAGTATCTTTTCTAGGTATATTTTAATTATGATAAGATTCTAACAAAGAAATTGGAATGTTCTCATTTATTTTTCTGCTTATTTGTTTACTTATTTGTGTTCATTTATGTCTCCAGATATGCTTACGTGGAGGAATACACATACACCCTGACTTTTTTTTCAAGTACTGTCTATCTCTCACTAGCCAGGAACTCAAAAGATAGGCTAGGCTGGCTGGCTTGCTCTCTGGACAGTAGGCTCCAGGAATCTGCCTTTCTCTGTCTTCCCACTATTGGGCTAACAAACATGCACCATCAAGATCTAGCTTTCTTTCTTTTTTTTTTTTTTTTTTTTTTTTTTTTTGACAGAGATTCTAGAATACAACTCAGGTCTCAGTCTTGCAAGAGAAGCACATTACATCTCCCCAGCCTAGTCATTTATAGGACTAATAAAATTACAGTTAGACAGCTATGGTGGTTGGGGTTAATGATCTACTTGCAGAACCCAGAGCCTGTGAGAGATGGCTACTGAGCAGGCCTGGGGTATAGGTGGGAGAATACTGATTATGTAAATTGACTGGGAGGACCTGTCCACTGAAATTGCTCCCACTCTTTGGGCTGGGAACTAGGCAGTTAAGGGAAAGGTGAGTTAGGTACAGACTTTGTATTTCTGCTCCCTAACTGATTTATACAAGACCTTGCTTACTGAAATTTCGTGTGTGTGTGTGTGTGTGTGTGTGTGTGTGTGTGTGTATGTGTGTGTGTTCAGGAAAACACCCTAAGTTCAATATGCTATTTAATAATTTTGCCACAAGAGGGTGAGAGTGTACCACAAAATTTTGGGGGTTTTTTGTTTGTTTGTTTGACTTTGTTGTTGTTGTTTGTTTGTTTGTTTGTTTTTGTCTGTTTTTGTTTTTCAAAGCAGTCTATGTAGTTACACTAATAACAGAAAATTTTTTCTGCGTAATTACAATTTCCCAGAACTTTTTTATAAAAGTATCTATGATCCCAACTTCATGATGTGGGTGTTATCTTCATCTTACCAAAAAAAAAAAAAAAATGCAGAAAGTAACTAAGTTGATCCAATTTATACCAACAAATGATAGAATTGACCCTCGCATGTTGTTATAGTAGGTACATTACACAATCTTAATAAGAATAATATTGTCACAAACCTGTATGACAGAGATGTTCAAGATGGCATTTGGGTTAAACAATTAAATTTAATAATGTGATTTCCACTCAATAGCATTCTGAGGATTTGCTTTATAAAGTCGGAAATCATTTTCCTGTGAAAATATCTGGTACTGAATTTTAGTTCCCTTCTCTATGTCTTTGGGGGGAAAAAAACAGTCTTAATAGAATATGGGTCATGGGGATGTCCTGATTGTTAGAACACCACCATCCTGGAGATTATTAGGTTATTTACTAAGAGCCTACATGATGTGTGCCTCTGGGTATGGCAAAATTAATTAAAAATTTAACAAAAAAAAAAAAAAACCTAGATAAGACCATGCAACTCACTAATCAAAAGAACTTGACATCTACAGTAAAATCAAGCTGTAGCTAGGTATGGGACCCCTGCCTGCAATCCTAGCCCTCTGCAGCAGAAGGAAAGGCTCGTGAGTGCAAAGTCAACGTTAGTTCGTAAGGTCACCACTTAGGTAGTGAGAACCCTCCAGAAACTGAGAATTTAAGGTTTTCCTCTTGGCCACCATTATTCCCTTCCATCCATAAGTTTCAGGCTCAGAAAAACGTATTTACCCAACCTTTGTTAAAAGAGAATACACTGAACCAACTCACCAGAGATGCAAGTGTATGTATGGGACTTCATATAGATGTCAGAACTAAGATATAATGTGGAGACTATCAAGTTAATATTTTCCATTACCAATACTTGAGTTCTAGCAATAGTTTTGTGTCGAATGTTACTTTGGGGGAAATATATAAATCTCTAAGATGCCTGCTCAAGTTTTTTTTTTTTTTTTCAATTATTAGCATTTTCATTTTGGACACAGTTTATCGAGTTGAAACTCACTTCCACACTATTTCATTTCATGCCAAACTCACCTAGATTCCTATAAGAGTTTCATCTCATTCTTATTTTGAAAATACTGGTAAGAAAGAGAGGTTGGCTGAAGCTCGTGTACATAGTTCTTTTCCCTTCATACTTTTCCTAACTCAAAGCTAAAATCAAATCTCCTTTCACTCTTTCCTTCTTGCAATATTCTAGAGCTTGTTCTGATGTTACTGTCTTACACAAAATGTCTCTCTTGCAAGGAGAAGGTGGTGCACGCCTTTAACCCCAGCACTCAAGAGGAAGAGCAGAGGCAGGTGGATCTCTGTGAGTTCAAGGCCAGCCTGGTCTATAGACTGAGTTCCAGAATAACCACGGCTACACAGAAAAACCTTGTCTCAAAAAAACAAACAAACAAACAAAAGTCTCTCTTGCTGAAGTGTCTTGATTTGGGATAGTCTAAAAATTAACCCACTTAATACAAGAATTCTCTTAAGGAAATACCACTTTGTTTAAAAAAAAAAAAAAAAAGTTCTAGGGGGGTTGGAATGATGGTTCAGCAGTTAAGAGCACTGGCTGCTCTTCCAGAGGATGAGAGTTCAATTCCCAGCACACCCACGGTATCTTATAACTGTCCATAATTCCAGTTCCAAAAGATCTAATGCTGACACACGTGGTGCATGGTCACACAAGCAGGCAAAACACACATACACATGAGCAATAAAAATATTAGTTCTACAAGTTACTGGGGAAAAGGATTTCTATTTTTGTTTCCACAGAAAATGAAAAGATGTGGATTCCTTACAGACTAATGTGGTTTGATCACGCCAGACCGCCTGAAACAGAGTACAAGCTGATCCTACATTCAAAACAGCTGGACAAAACAGCCCTACAGACTACAGCTAGGATATCTGAATCTTCTTCGAATCCCCCAAGACAGCGCCCCTTACCAGCAGGAAGTAATTTGGAAAGAACGATGCCCAAATTCCCAAATATTGTATATAAATGTTTGTTTTCATTTAATTGGACTTTGTTATATAAAATTAAATAAAAAATTATAAATAAAAAAATATTAGTTCTAGCATAATGGGAAATATGAATTTTATGGTAATTGAGAGTTTTGACAAACTAAAAGAAAACAAAACAGATCAAGTTTTCAGTACTTTACCTGTGGTTTTTTCATATTCATCATCTTCCTCAGGCAGAGCATTAAGAAGCTCAGGGACAATGCTGAGCAACAGACACACAGATGCCAAAAAGGCATGTTCCTTCTTCATTACAGAAATCATTTCTGAAATACAGAACACAATCATGCTTAATAAGAAGTCGGTGTGGATGTGTCTGTAGGCTAGTGGGAATCTTGCAAACTTCCAAATGAATTTAGTACACCATATTTAGTGCCTCATATGCCGCTGTCAACACATTTTGAAGTTCACCTTTAAAACATGGACTTAAAACATTAAAAGGTACAATCACATCCATACAATGTACATTACCCATATTCAACAGGCCTATCCTTTAGCCTTGAAAATACAAGGTAAAAGGGAAATGATGAGAGATGTATAAGTGCTTGTTAATACGGATCGGTACAGTCTCTCTCATGTGTAATCTAAATTTAAATATAGATCAGGGAGGACATGGGAGAATAATGGGGCTGTGTTTTTAAATGCAACTTAAAATGAATTAAAAGCATGCGATTCCATCTAAACAGGTCACACTTTCCGTGTCACTCAGCTACTTTTCTTTCTTAGCCAGAATTAATTGCACTTTAATTTTTCCAGAATTTTTTATGCCTTAACATTCTTAAGGCGACTTTCAATTTTTTTGGTACTCTTTCCCTTTGCTTTGATCCCTCCTTCAGAAGGGAAGCATTTTCACAATTCCCTTCCTTGTTTCTCATAGCATTTGTTTTCTAAGCCATTTCCTAACCAGGTTTTCTGTGAGATAAGCACACAGTAACTGCTCACAATAGAAGTATCTTTCATCCCAGCCACTCCCTTTCTTAAACTCAATTCACCATTCCCCAGTTTATGGAGAAGTGATGAGCCCACACTTTTGCACCCCAAGGGAAATGAGTCCCTGCAGGAAGTGAGACATTTCCTGCTTCAAACTGATTTAAAGATCTAGATCTAAAGAGGAAAAGACTTTGAAAAACACGTAGCATGAAAAACAAAAAAGCATGATGTCCCCTTTCACACAAAGGTGAATGGAAGCAGTGATCAGGAGATACCAATGCCTTAGAGCCTTAGAGAGTTGAGAGCAAATGCACGCTCTCCAGCTACACCTTCAAACCCCTGAAAGTTTTTATTTCTATGGCAGAATGCCTAAGACTATGTAATTTTTTAAAAATGACTCATTTTTACTTTGAGTGCATTGGTGGTTTACATGCATGAATGCCTATGTGGGGGGTGTCAGATCCCCAGGAACTGGAGTTAAGAACAGTTATGAGCTGTCATGTGGGTGCAAGGAATTGAACCCAGGACCTCGGGAAGAGCAGCCAGTGTTCTTAACTGCTGAGTCATCTCTCCATAATTGTGGACTCCAGAAAGTGCCAAGTCAGGATACTGGCAAGCAGAAAATAAATAAATAAATAAATAATACATGGATGACCTTCGAATACATTAATAGTAAAGTAATAACGCCACTTTACTTTCCACATCATTAAAATCGCTGACAAACTATATAACTCGAAACTAGACATGACACATGACACTAGAACATATTTGAATTTTAGTCAGCAGCGTTAGATATTTGTGACTCATACAACATACCACATGCCATTGTGAGATTCTGATATGCACATATAACTACAAAAAGTATTTCTACTAAATATCTAGGTTTTAAATTATTTTTCAAACACGTTCAGAGACTTTTATTTTCAAGATAGGGTTTTTCTATGTAACAATCCAGGCTGGCCTGGAACTTGCTTTGTAGGTCATATTGGCCTCAAACCCTGCCTCTGCCTCCAGATTGCTGGGATTAATGGCCTGCTCCTCCACCTCCCAGTTCCTTTCAGAGATTCATAAGTTCCATTTGATTCATAGAAAAGTCCAACACAACTATGCTGTGAATGTAACAATGAAGCAGGCTTTTTGTCTGTGTTTCGTGGCACAGGCCTAAGCTGGATGCCTGCTACAAACTCAAGAATAGAGACCCTAAATCTATCAAGTTATCTTATTTTAAAGCTGCCACTTGAAATAATGCTTATGTTTAGTCATTTAGTCTTTGCTTGGTTGCAAGTAGCCAAAGCCAGCTTAGGTGAAACTAGGCCAGATCAAAATGTCGTTAGCCCCATTCCAGAAAATGTAGAACTACCTAGACCTAGAAGTGTCAACATAAATTACTCTCAAAAACAACTAGAACCAAAAAACTGAGCAGCCTCAGGAATCTCTAATTGCTTTATTCTCTGTCTCAGTACAGCTCCTCTCCCTCCCCCCCATCCCCATAGCATAGAATAGCACAGTATTAATTTGAACTATTATCAACTTATTTATAACTCTTATTCTAAAGTCCTCTATAAATAGTGATCATGTATTTCATTTCCAACATAGTATAGCCATGCTAACAATGCCAGTAAATCAGTTTCAGTATTTTCCAATGAATCTTTACCCGGTCTCTTGTCCTTTACCATTGACTACTGTTCTATTACCCTCCCCATTAAACAGTGGACCAACAGAAGTCCACAGCTGATTTCAAGTGTAGGAAGGATACCATCCATTCGGCAACATTTTTAACTATTTATTTATTTTTATTTTATGTCTATTGGTGTTTTGTCTGCATGTAAATCTGTGTGAGGGTGTTGGATCCTCTAGAACTAAAGTTACAGACAGTTGCAAACTGCCATGTGGGTGCTGGGACTTGAACCAGGATCTTCTGGGAGAACATCCAGTGCTGTTATCTGCTGAGCTGTCTTTTTAGCCCCCAGCAACATTTTTTAATGACCTAATAGTGACTAATATTCCTCATAGTAAACTCAACTTCAACCAGCTGCTCAACACCACCCTTGATCTCAAGTTCAGTATGTTGGTCTTGTTGTAACAAATATTGACAAAAATATCTCACTGAAACTATATTTATTATTAAGCATATTTAAAATTATGACAGAAATACATGAAAATACATATAGAAAAGATGCAAATAGATCCTGGCCTCTTCCTTCTTCATCCTATTGACTCTTTCTTCCAGAAATAAACTATCAGTGTGTTTTTATCTAGAACTTGTGTATGTTGTTACATGTGCATATACTTTTATACTCTGCAAATGTAAATTATGATATGTATTGTGCATTATTTTTTTAAATTCATTTCTTCATTGAAGAAACTTTCTTTCATAAATTTGATATGAGAGTTACTCAGGAATTAACACTAACTTCCCTGACTGTAGTACATTATAAGGAATTCTGAAAACAGCAGATTGAAATTTGTTTGAGTGTTCATATTCCTCTGTATTATCTACATCCTGCCATCTATGTTTGTTTTACAGGTAGTAAAGTTAAATGAGGAGGGAGACCTGCAGGTGTCTCGGTTATTATTTAGGGATGTATATTTAATATAGTAAAAATGTATGTAGATTCAAGATCTAAATTGGTTATATATATATATATATATATATATATATATATATATATATATATATATAATCTTCTTTCGCCTTTTTTTTTCCCCGCCAAAATGGCGCCGAAAGCGAAGAAGAAAGCTCTTGACCCTCCCAAAGCCGAGGCCAAAGTGAAGGCCTTGAAAGCCAAGAAGGCAGGGCTGAAAGGCGTCCACAGCCACAAAAAGAAGATCCGCACCCACCTTCCAGCGGCCCAAGACCCTGCGGCTCCGGAGGCAGCCCTAACACCCTCGGAAGAGCGCGCCCCGGAGAAACAAGCTTGACCACTATGCCATCATCAAATTCCCCCGGACCACTGAGTCAGCCATGAAGAAGACAGAAGACAACAACACGCCTGTGTTCATTGTGGACGTCAATGCCAACGTGAAGAAACTCTATGACATTGATGTGGCCAAAGTCAACACCCTCATAAAGCCTGACGGAGAGAAGAAGGTTGGCTCCTTGATTATGATGCTCTGGATGTTGCCAACAAATTTGGAATCATTTAAACTGAGTACAGCTAACTAATTCCAAATATACACTTTTTCACCATCTTTCCCAGAACAAAAGATTTACTATTAAGATAACAATATTCTTCAATATAATCTACACATTTCTTGTAACTTGTATGCAATCCCCTGCAAGATTTTGTTATGTCAAAATTGACGTGGAAATCCTAAAATTCATGTGGCTACTCTAGCTACCTACTGTTGGGAACCAGCAGTCTGCTGATCCCGCCCCCTGATGATGGGCGGGATGCTCATGACTTGTCATAACTTACTGGCTGCTCTGCCAGGGGACTCAGTTAAACATGCAAGTTTCCCTTTTAAAGCAAGCGCGCCAAGCGCCAAGCGCGCCTCTCTCTTGCTCCTTCTCTCTCTCTCTCTCTCTCTCTCTCTCTCTCTCTCTCTCTCTCTCTCTCTCTCTCTCTCTCGCTCTCGCTCTCGCTCTCGCTCTCGCTCTCGCTCTCGCTCTCGCTCTCGCTCTCGCTCTTGCTCTCTTTGAGTTGTTTTCAATTTTTTGTGTATGATTAGTTCACATTAAGTATACAAATGAATGGAATTTTCTGTGTCATTTTCATATATACGTATGTCAAAATTTACTCAGATCCCCTGTCCTTAAAGCTTTCTGACCTCTCCTTTCTTTGTTTGTTATTAGTCCTTCTGCTTTCAGACTGCATTGTTCTCTCTTCATTCGTTTGGCTTAGTTTACTTAACATGGTGGTTTTCACTTGTATGCATTTTCTTGGGACTGACTTGATTTCGTTCTTCTTTGTGATTAGATAAAACTCCATTGTGCATATGTAACTTATTTTCTTTATCTGCTTACATGACAAAGATACACACATACATCACAAAGTGTGAGTCTTCCAGCCTTGCTCTTTTGTGTGACTGCTTTAGCTGTGGTAGGTGTTGTTCTTTTACTTCAGCTATTGCCTATGAAACATAAACATAGGCATGAGACTCAGCTCCCATATGGAGTTTATCTTCTCACCTAAAGGTGCTGGCACATATGGATAGCCACATTTCAAAACAATGAGGCTAGCCTTCCCTTGTATCATATACAAAACTTAACTAAGAATAGGTCAATGGCCTAAATGGAAGAACTAAATCTTGTACTATGCTTTACAATATGATGAAAACTTTGTGATTCTATATTGGGAAAAATCTCTTAGAAATTAAATCAAAAACAAAAAGA